GTGCTACGTGTATTGCACAGTTTTTCATATTTAGCACTCTGCTAACATTCCTTGAGCACATCGTACCTATTAAGTTCCTCACAAAGATGATCTAGACAATCAGATGCGGGGTGGGTGGAGAATGGATTAACTTGACCCCACCAAATCGTTCTTGATGCCGAGACAACCGCGTAGACGACATTGAGAGACTAGATGTGGGTATCGATATGTCTTAAAAATTGCAGTTGGAGTAATCTTATTGCAAGGAGGCACATGTCCCAACATACCATGATGTACGCATACATAACGCACATTTAACAGTTGATAGGACGTTAAACAAAATGAAACCCAAACCAAATCGGCTCCTCTCGAGGAACTATATTCCTATATTTGCTATATTCCTCAGGTGTATATTTAAACATTATAATTGCATAGGAGTGAACCTTCCCACACTGATGTGCAACTGAGGTTCAGGTCTGGGGTTCTGCCAATTAAATATACACAACTCACGTGGAATACTAAAATGCATTTAATTAAGGTAAGGAGATAGCAATATGAGTGCGGATGGACAACACATTTACAGCTCGATAACAATATTGAACCCCTACCAGGCTAACGTCAGGACATAGAAATAGTCGGGAACAGGACAATGCATGGGTTAACCGACATACGCTTCGCCCTGACACTCACATAACAGTGCTACCATCTTATACATATATCAGTTTGAATGAAATAGTAAAGAAAAGAAGAAAGAATAATGAGTCGTACCAGCTTCTACCTCCTGGAGGAACGGGCGTGCATGTGTTTTGTTAACATCATAAACCCATCGAGGGTATTCCCCTGTCAAAAGGTAAAAGCCAATAGAATTGAGGGACATGTTAGAGGTCGGCCAATAGATGGACAGTCTACAAAAAGCGTGACAGTGAAAACCTTGATGTAAACAAATAAAACCTTTCTTCCGCTAGTCGAACAATATGTGATGGCGACATGACATATAAATCAATATAATAAAGGTATTATTCATAATTGTATCGAAACGTGCAAATACACACACACACACACACTACCTCACACCGCCACCATACACTAACAGAATGGGCCGGGTACAATACATGAAATCATCTCAACTTTTACAATAACATGATAGCGTAAGATTACACTATGCATATGAAGGAATACAGTGGGGGACCAAATCATATATGATCTTGTTGACAAAATTGCAAACTGACCGTAATGAATGCAAAAACTATAATGTATCGGTGATAGCCACCAAAAAGTTCGAATATGCACCTTTTCCTTTATCAGACTATGCTGATGTTGTGTACGTGTTATGATACGAACATTGCTGCTAAGTGGTTTATTTCAAGTAAGAACCAGAAGATATGTTTGGCAAGGTAAAACGACAATCCTTTGTTTGGAAAATAAATTTCATTTTATTTGTCAAAGTTGTGCGTAAAACCCTTGAACTGATGATCCATAACATTTTGATTCATTTCAAACTAAATCATCTGTGAAGTGTTTAAATCATAGACCGTAACACTACGCAAAGGAGCTAACTATACCAATCAAAGTAACAAGAAATCTCGATGATTTAAAAATCCTATAGCAAACCTACCCTTTTGAAACTCGAAAGATCAACGTAGGACACTGTTAAAGATTTGGTAATAATACAGCATGGTAAACCTGTATAGCACTACATCATACAGCTGATTCGTCCTACATCATACAGCTGATTCGTCCTACATCATACAGTTAAATCGTCCTACATCATACAGCTGATTCGTCCTATATCATACAGCTGATCCGTTCTACATCATACAGCTTATTCGTCCTACATCATACAGCTGATTCGTCCTACATCATACAGTTAAATCGTTCTACATCATACAGCTGATTCGTCCTACATCATACAGCTGATCCGTCCTACATCTTACAGCTGATCCGTCTTACATCTTACAGCTGATTTGTTCTACATCATACAGCTGATCCGTCCAACACCATACAGATGATCCGTCCTACACCATACAGCTGATTCATGACCCATCTGTGATGCTAGGGGTCAAAATATGCGAAATACAAATAACTCCTACTACTTTTGTGTAAAAGAGATGCGGGTACCTAAAACCTCTTATTTTGTGAATTTCAAAATTTTGAGGAGTTCTAGTTTATGTCAAATTAAAGATCATATAGGTTGACTAATTGTTAACAAAGTTAATCATTATTGTATGTTTTACGGTCCATCGACACAATCTGTTTATCTATTCTAACGGCATTTACAAATCTTGATGTATTTCCCGTTATTTGCCATTCTTATAAGATATTATTTGCAGGATTGACAAAATCTAAAACTGATATTTCATACATGAATTGCGAGTCATAAAATATATATTTATTTGTCAATTGTTTTTCGTGTTTTTTAATTCGTACATATCAATTCAGATATTAATTGTAATGTGTGCTTACTAGAATCACATACATAAACCTGTTGTTCACCAGAGGTGCACATGTATAACAAATATAGACAAGATTTCGACATTGCAGATTTTCCCTTTCCTTCATTTTTTATTCATCCTTATGATACATGTTTGTTGTTAAGCATGAACGTTTTAACAAATAGTTCAATGTCGTTGTCATAGTGATGTCGAACAACTGTAGTTGGTCTGAGTCATAGATATGTTTGCTTTTTCTTAGAGCAATATTTAACAGATATTGATCAACCTAATACAGAAAGAGTTACTGCGTATCGCTACCTTACTGACAAATTACAAGCCTTACACACGCCTCGTCGATCGATTGCACTGTAATAACATTTAAATCCCATAAATATTTTCTGTCCAATCAAAGTTCAGACCATTGAGTACCTTGATTCGTTGATATACGGTAATCAGGCCGGAAATAGAAATATTGATACATAACATTTAAAGAACGGATTCATGTCATGCATAAAATATGTGATATAAGCTGTTGTTGATACAAACTTTGAACGTTTAAGTATACATATAAATACAGTTAAAAATAAGGACATTAATAATTATTGTGTATTCTGTGATTTAAAAATAGCAATTTAATATATAATAATAATAATAATTTCTTGGTAGCGCTTAGCCGCACAAAACAGCTTAATGGTTCAACGTGTTATGACGATACTCGGTAAGGTTACCTTCCTATACTTCTTAATACGAACACAATAGTTATACATGTCTGTTATAACTTGAATGATAAATGTTTATATCGTCGAGCGACGGGACGTATTATGTTATCACTTTGGCGGGCGGGCAGTTGGGCGGACGCGCTTGGTGTCCGCTCGATATCTTCATTTATTTTCAACAGATTAAATACAAACTTCAAAAAGGATAATTATTATAACAGCTTGGACAAGTTCGGGTGATAGGCCCTTTACCCACTTTCCGCAAAGGTGTCCGCTTGATATCTCGGCTATTTTTGGACGATTCTCCGATTGGCTTAATGCAGGATAAAACGACTAAACAGTTGAGTTGAAATACTCTACGACTTATGTTGGAATGTGATACAGGACTATGTATTGTTTGGGAGGGTTATTGCCCTCAAATGCATCAAAATTCAAACCTTTTAAATGAACTGTCAAACAACCATTTCTTTTTTTTTTAATATTTTCCAAATACTATCAGGAAAATATCTGTTTGTATTTCTAATTATTGTTGTCACGATAACAAGTTCAAATTAGCATAAATTAGAAACATTTGAATGTTCAGTGAATAATGTCATATTTTTTTCTGGAAACTATAGAGCGCATGCTTGATCAAAATTAATATCTAAGGATAATTCGTATAAACATTGTTATACATCTTAAGGAGAAATATAAAATGTGTTCAAGAGTGCGCCATATGGTTGCTAAAAGAAAAATTAGACGAAAACATGTCAAAATTGACTGAATATTCATATCCATTAATTCATGCAAATATTAACTGGTTACCATGACATTCATAAATAAAAACACAAATAAATGTTTACATGATAGTACTGGGGTAGTATTCAAAATGAAAGAAACAGTCATTTGAAAGTTCTATTTAAGATTTTTAATTTCGGTGGATTTTGGGTCCAAAAAAGGCCCAAATTATATATAGTCCTTTGATGTCACGCTATTGTTGACGTCATGTAGTTCTTGGATCATATCACTTCCTAATATGATGACCTAAGCTGTTACTAGGACGTTGAACCCTAAACAAATACAACCTTGAGTCATATCACAGGTCATCAAGATAATCAACTAATATTTTCATTGACATGGTCAAATTGATAACAATGGCCAACAATAAGTATCATAATTATTGAAGTTAAGCGTCCTGAATATTTTACTATAATAAATAAAGTTATTCTCCTTGGTTTAAATAATGCAATACAACATGCATTCCATGATGTATTACACTTATTGATCTATCATGTTTGAAAATTATATCTCCTTTACCGTTAATAACTCAACAGTAATTCAACATGTGACGGGCGTATTATGTGCCGCTTTGCTGTGTCTTTGTTTATCTCCTTGTTTGAAGTTTAACGTCAACAGCCAGGGGTCATATGATAACGCATGGGTAGGAAGGTAAAACAAAACCGGGGGAAATGTGCGTAGGGACAAAAGGAATAAGACAGGAAAAAGGGAAGATTCCAAGTGTTGTTATGGGGGCTGCAGATCATGATCAATGGTCGGATCAATCTACTCTTAGTATTAGGCAATGAGGGAAACACCCGATTCCGCAGGGGCTCCATATCAGTCGTCTTTAACCTTACACATGCAGTGAGATACAACAGGTGTATTCTCTTCCAGAACCTGATATTTCAAGCGCTATACATGTTTTACAATTACAATGATTTAATAATTACCACATTTTAAAGTATCAATCATAAAACATACAAAATAATTATTTATACTAATTAGTATACGTTTAGTATGTCCAAAATAATTTATACTTTTTATTTGATAATTCATCATACATAATGATAATAAAAAGATTATGAAAAGTATAAAAGAAATACAGTTATCAATGCACATGTGCATATTTATTTGTAACAACGCAGCAACAATATATTAGCTATCAAACTACATAAATAAATAAAATGGACACATGAAAAAAACGACTCAGAATTGCAGCTCATCACATTGCACAAATGTGTTTCAATGCATGCAAAATTCTTGAATTATCATATATGATTCAACTGCTATATATCTGTTTAAGCATTCGTTCAAAAATCATAAAAAAACATCACACAGTCATTTCTTAGACCATTGGTTTAACAAAAGAAAACATTATACTTTTATAAACCACTCAATCCCATTAAAATTTTAAATGTTTTAGACATTTTTGATTTATGCAACAATTGTTGTTTTATGAGAGATATCTTGAAACGAATTTGCCGATTCCTCTAAAATACACACCGTAATATAATGTATAATTTGATATGAAGAATAGATAAAAATCGATCTTATGATCAAATAAAGATAGCAAAGTCATTTTCGTAACACTAGATTATAAAAAGAATATATTGAACGATGTCATCCGTCATTTTGTTCGAAGGGTGATGTATCTGGTACATGTATCAGGATGACACACTTTGTGGAGAAAATACCCCAATCATGCACTCAGAAGCAGCTTGGCTAGGATTCCACACATCAGTATAAGGGGAGATAAACCGTGTTTGATGGAACCAGTGCCTGAAGAAGAAACGCATGTATCAGAACAAACCAGATAAGCATGTTGGCCTTTTGCCTTTCATATGTTTTTTCTTTTTCTTTTTTCGAGACGATCCGCTGCTATATAACGTATTATTTGAATAATGTCATCATTGATTTTCTCATAAGTTTTGGTCGTAATGTCTACTTAGGAAATGTGTATCCATCGAACTTCATTTTGATGGATGTTTTTTTTTTGTTTGATTTTGAAAAAGCCATTGTTCAACTATCCTGACGTTATTACATACATATATATCAATGCGAACATCTTAAAGCGAGTACAACTAACGTGTTTGTTACACTGTTTGTTTGCTGTGTTATCCAAATGGTATTAATATGACATTAACCAACACCATTTTACAAAGGAGTCTTACCTGACTTTGTTGGGCTGTTTTTTCCATCGCTACCTAATAAACAGTAAGACAGTAAATTGTTGTTTAGAATGTCTCCATATAATATTACATTGCAACAACGGTTTGGAAACTAATAATGTTATAAAATCACAAAATAGAAATTTAAAGTAGCTCTATTTTACGTTCTGCTGTGATAAAACTGCCATTGATTGATTTTGTTGGTAATGTACAAAACAATTTTTCTCGCAAATTAGACGGGGATACCCCCAGGTGATACCCCATCTTAAACGTGTTCATCTGTCGTTATGTGAATTGCTTTGATTCCTGATGATAAACTTTAATTTTGACTGTGAAAAACGTGTTCTTTTTTGTAATAACGAACTGCATTGTTTACGCGGAAGTAATTCAAACGTAGGTAAAGTACAAAAAATGCCATATGTATTTGAGTACCCTAACGGGATACTTTAAAGCTATCGCAAAATTGAAATAGTTTTTTTCGAATTAACAGGTGCGAAAAGCAGCTACCTGTAGCAGAACGAGATCGGGTTATCTCACTCTCGGGCTCTGATTCCTTAACATCTCCACCTTGGCTGACGCTTCTTTCGGGATTTTTGTTACAGAATCTACAGCTTCGACTGCGATAACTTAATATCGCTTAGTAATATGTATTAGATTTTTTAATGTTTCAGCATATCTTGATATCTTCATAAATTGGTTATCATTTACAAATACCAAGATATGTTCAGGGATATGAATATTTTGTACCTTTATTATCATGCATTAGCATAAATATAACCTGTTATAAGAATTTCTACCGTTTTATGCGTTTTTTGGGTATGGGTTATTTGTTATTTTTCCATAAAATGATATATAAAAGAAACAAAACTACATCAAAGATACCTTGAAATAAACTAGTATTTGCAAGTGTCTTTATATCGTCACATCAGGAGAGTAAGACTTTTCTAAATAATTCAATTTAAGATAGCATAATGGCTACATGTGGAAGAGACAATTGGAATGGAGACTTTCTGCTAATGGCAATTAACGTATACCTCTATATATGCACACATTAGTACAGTTATCTACACGAAACATTGGGATATAGTTTAACGGTATAACTATGTATGGTACGACATATGACATTTTCGTCGTTGTATGATCATCGTATTTTGTAGTCATATTGTTGTTAAATTATTTTTGTGGGGTTTCTTTTTTGTTATTATTTATTGTTTTTCAAAAATGTTTTTGTTAAGTGAACATAAATATGCACACTTGCGTTTTTTACAACTCACTTCATTGGAAATTATATTGCTTGGGTGGTGTGAAATTGGGAACAATTGATAGATCAAGGTTTATTTTATTCAATAGTCTTATAAATTTCAGATCATTTAGAACTCAATTATTTTATCTCACTATGATAATGTCGACAGGCTCCTTGATAAAGATCGATTTTTCCTCGAACTGTCTTTTTAACTTTATGACCCTGATTTTGTAGTTCAACGTATCTATTATAGCAAAAAAGTTGCAAATAGCACACCATTGCTACGACAATATAAGGTTATGTATGGAATATGATTTAAACGATCGCATGTTATGCACTCGAATATTTTTGATACATTTGTTTATGGTAGTACAGCTTATATAGTTGGTGTATAACGTTTTGATAATCTTCGTACAATAGATTTTCTAAAACAGTCACCATGCAAACAACTAGCTGAGCAAACTTTATGTAAGGTGTTAAAATGCACCATCACGATTTTTTTTTATTTTAACTCACCAGCGACTCGTTTCACAAATTGCATATGACATGGAAACTCATATAAGATCCTATATATTTAAACCTGCATCCAAGTTATACGAATTACAGCAAAATGATGCTGTTATATCATTTGTTTACTGAAGGCAGAGACAGAATCTGCGAAAAAAGTTACACATTGACTCTGAAAAAACACAATTATTTACTCTATTGTTGCTTAGCTGTCCAGTTGAATATACCGATGCCATGCGATATTTAAAGCTCGTATTGAAATCAGTTAAATACTAGGTAAGTGATCTTTAGACTATCATATCAATATTAATTCTTTTATTACCGGCTTGGTAAAAATAAGTAAAGTATACGCTTACTAGCATTACAATGATAAGATTTCGATACATATAGGTATATTATGTGACAGGCTGCTTTCTGATAGATATGCACATCGTTATATACGTACATCCGTCAGCAAATGTTCTAGAAATGGGACTAACGATTCAGTCAGATTTGCCTACCTTGACATTTCCAGGAACAACTTTGACCAGCAGTAGCACACGCACACGTAGGGGCACCTGAAACATACAATTTCCTGATACCAAATAGTATAACTGAAAGAAGAGAGAAGTTATCAACTCATATATCTTGCAATCATATAAACAATAGCAAGTCGGACGGCAATTTATTTGGAATGCATTAAAAATTCGGATCTAAACAAAGTTGATTATATATTAGTTCAAAAAGACATCTAAAGTGAAATATGATAACACCCAGCCACACAATTTGTTTACGGAAAAAATAAATGGTTCGATAAATACGACCATTGTGGTTCGTCAGGATGAAATTTAGTTTACAATCGTGTGTTTGATATGGATATATATCGTACAATGCTAATGTTTTCATTCATTCGAGTAGTATGAGGGTCGAATTGAGCACTTGATAGACAACGCATTTAAATCTTTCAAAAAAGGAAGACATAATTTATAGATGTCAAGCAATCAACTGATCAGATGATATGTCCATTTTTTGTCGTAATAACAAATAACTGTGACAAATAAAGGGCATTTTCTTTTATTCTCTGATGGTGTTGTATGTTATTAGCTTCTCCAATACTTGTCATGGGAAACTATAACGTATTATCAATAGGATATGTTTCGTAAGCGTGAAATTTAACAAAATGTGTTGAAATTATGGAAATGTCCAAAACAACAGTTATTCTAATTCATTTTAGATGTAACGTGGTATTTGATTGGTCAATCGAAATAACTTTCCGACAATTTAGACACTAAATACCAAAATTATGAGTTGCACATGTAGCCTGGAAAGAGATTACTACAGTTGCATGAGTAACCCGACTGACCTTAACACGTGATCAAACTGATTATAAAGCTTCTGGTTTCAACGTTGTATACCAGATCTTTCCATTCAATGAGTGGCATTATGTTCACGATATTTCACAAAATGTTACATTGTAAATGGTAACAGTTGTATCTCTTAATCAATCGTCTCAGTATGCTAGGATTTTGGTAAATCATTAAATCACTATGAATGCATAATGATGCATCACCTTAATCATAAGGAACAATAGACAAATCCTAGTACAGGACAAGATAAGAAACAACCAAACTAAACAGAAGTAAACAGAAAACAGACTACAAAGACATCAGCAAACACTCGAGGGTGAAATAAGATACTTCTGAACGGTAAAATGTCGTCACCGATATAAAACAAAACACGTCAGACAGATTATAAATTTTGATAGACATCCTGTGACATGTTATTGTGTACATGGAATTTTCAACATGCAGCAATTTAGTGTATGATGTGGGTTTTTTGCGTTGTATTTATTCTTATTTTGTTACGTTTCAGTTAAGTATCAGTGTTGATATTTATTAGTCTGGATTTTAGGTAAAAAGATTCTGTATGAGCCAATTATCCGCGCATGTAAATTATGGTTCAGGTAAGTAACTGAATTTCAGACAAAACATGTTCTATTTTGTTAAGAAAGCAATTTCTTGTACAACGTAGGAGAAGTAAACCAAATATCAACAGACGTTATTGTATCTTATGCAGCAATACAAAATATAGAATAGAAAATACCTTATCGAAAAGACAAGTTTATATTTGTGACTACATTATGTACCTGCGCCAGCTTTAACACTGGCTGCTGCTACACACTCAGTTGCACATTTTCCACCATTGCTACCACAAGGGTCATCTACAGCAGCGCATTTCTCGGTGGCACCTGAATAAATCAAGAATAGTATAAACAAAAGTAATCATTTGACTTTTTCATGGCATATTTTGTAAATGTAAGCTTAATGAAACGATGTCCTATCGATATCTCGATGATTAGTTTTCAGCTGATAAACTTCAAACTTCATTGACAAATTAATTACTATGAGAGCGCAAACGAATGTGATAGCCACTATTATCAGACTGTAATTTAAGAGAGTAATGCCCTTTATCAGTTAAGGAAGTGTCCGCTCGATTTCTCGAGTAATTTTCAACAGACTAACTTTAAACGTCATTGAAAGGTCAATTACCATAGGAACTTGGGCAAGTTAGATAATCACTATTACCAACCTTAATTAAGGGAGTTATGCACAATTACTCAATTGCTGAAACAGTGTTCGCTCGAAATATTGGGTAATTTCAACGGATCAACTTCAAACATAATACGAAGGTCAATAGTTCTCATAAGTTTTGGCCGTAATGTCTATTTAGGCAATGTGTATCCATCGAACCTCATTTTGATGGATGTTTTTTTTGTTTGATTTTGAAAAAGCCATAGTTCAACTATCCTGACGTTATTACATACATATATATATAAATACGAACATCTTGAAGCGAGTAAACCGAATGTGCACACATTAGTACAGTAATCTATATAAAACATTGGGAAATAGTTTAACGTTATAACTTTCATGGTACGACATATGACATTTTCGTCAATATAGGATTCACCAGAGGTACCCAAAAACAAGAAAAGGACACATTCCATGTCTAAACTGTTCCGACACATATGTAAAATACGAGGATCGTGAAAATATTCTCATAAAACCCTTTATAACACTACACATAACTTTTTGAGGACACACGAGTTAATTACACTGTAACTAGTATTTTACATACCTAGTAAGGAATAAAACCAATTAAACGTATGTACTGCCAAAACTTTATCTTTCTACCAGTATATATTACCCGTATTTGATGGTTGACCATGAGTCAACAAGAGTCTACATGTAACACTAATACATTATTTAAAATAATCTTATGACTTAGGCTTATAAATGCCAAGCAAATACTAATCGTTTTAATAGGAACTTATAACGTGTATAGAGTAGTTATATTTGTCTTCCTTATCTTGCGTCATTCATTATTGTTTTGATTGTTTTTGGTTGTGTGATTAAAACAGTTCTATTGCAGACAATGTTTCAAACCATATTTTTACGTTTTTATCCTAAACTAAGCGCTTAAAAATCAATTCAAGGCACAAAGTTACGGCCGATAGCAGGGACCGATAGGTTATCAGCAGAGTCAAATAATCACTATAAATACGAAGAAGCAATCAAACGGTGCTTACACATGTACCGCCAATACTATATCTTTCTACCAGTATATATTACCCGTATTTGATGGTTGACCATGTGTTCCTGATCCCCCTCCTCCTACTGGAGAGTAAATAAAACTCAGTCAACAAGAGTATACATGTAACAGTACATCATGTAAACTAATCTTATGACTAAGGCTTATAAAAAGCAAGCAAAAACTAGTCGTTTTAATAGGGTCTCGTGACGGTAACAGACTAGCTTTTTGTTTCTTCCTTACCTTGCGTAATTTCATATTGTTTTGACTGTTATTGGTTATGTGACTAAAACAATTTTGTAGCGAAAATGTTTCGATCACATGTGTTCACCATTTTTATTCAAAACCCAGCGATTTTTTTCGTTGTATGAGCATCGTATTCTGAAATTATATTGTTGTTAAATTGGTTTTGTGGTGTTTGTTTTTGTTGTTTTTTAAATTTTAGTATTATGTACAACATAAATAATTATGCACATTTGCGTTTTTTACAATTCACTTCATTGGAAATTGTATTGGTGGGGTGGGGTGAAATTGGGAACAATTGATAGATTAAGGTTTGTTTAATTCAATAGTCTGATACATGTGCAGATCTTTTAGAACTCAATTATTTTATCTCACTATGATCATGTCGACAGGCTCCTTGATAACGATCGATTTTTCCTCGAACTTTCTTTTTAACTTTATGACCCTGATTTTGTAGATCAAGTTATCTATTATAGCAAAAAAGTTGCAAATATCACACCATTGCTACGACAATATAAGGTTATGTATGGAATATGATTTAAACGATCGCATGTTATGCACTCGAATATTTTTGATACATTTGTTTATGGTAGTACAGCTTATATAGTTGGTGTATAACGTTCTGATAATCTTCGTACAATAGATTTTCTAAAACAGTCACCATGCAAACAACTGGTTGAGCAAACTTTATGTAAGGTGTTAAAATGCACCATCACGATTTTTTTTCATTTTATCTCACCAGCGACTCGTTTCATAAATTGCATATGACATGGAAACTCATATAAGATCCTATATATTTAAACCTGCATCCAATTTATACGAATTACAGCAAAATGACGCTGTTATATCATTTGTTTACTGAAGGTAGAGACAGAATCTGCGAAAAAGGTTACACATTGACTCTGAAAAAACACAATTATTTTCTCTATTGTTGCTTAGCTGTCCAGTTGAATATGCCGATGCCATGCGATATTTAAAGCTCGTATTGAAATCAGTTAAATACTAGGTAAGTGATCTTTAGACTATCATATCAATATTAATTCTTTTATTACCGGCTTGGTAAAAATAAGTAAAGTATACGCTTACTAGCATTACAATGATAAGATTTCGAAACATATAGGTATATTATGTAACAGGCTGCTTTCTGATAGATATGCACATCGTTATATACTTTGTACGTACATCCGTCAGCAAATGTTCTAGAAATGGGACTAACGATTCAGTCAGATTTGCCTACCTTGACATTTCCAGGAACAACTTTGACCAGCAGTAGCACACGTACACGTAGGGGCACCTGAAACATACAATTTCCTGATAACAAATAGTATAACTGAAAGAAGAGAGAAGTTATCAACTCATATATCTTGCAATCATATAAACAATAGCAAGTCGGACGGCAATTTATTTGGAATGCATTAAAAATTCGGATCTAAACAAAGTTGATTATATATTAGTTCAAAAAGACATCTAAAGTGAAATATGATAACACCCAGCCACACAATTTGTTTACGGAAAAAATAAATGGTTCGATAAATACGACCATTGTGGTTCGTCAGGATGAAATTTAGTTTACAATCGTGTGTTTGATATGGATATATATCGTACAATGCTAATGTTTTCATTCATTCGAGTAGTATGAGGGTCGAATTGAGCACTTGATAGACAACGCGATTAATTCTTTCAAAAAATGAAGACAACATTTATAGATGTCAAGCACTCAACTGATCAGATGATATGTCCAATTTTTTGTCGTAATAACAAATAACTGACAAATAAAGGGCACTTTTTTATTCTCTGATGGTGTTGTATGTTATTAGCTTCTCCAATACTTGTCATGGGAAACTATAACGTATTGTTAATAGGATGTTTCGGAAGCGTGAAATATAACAAAATGTGTTGAACCTATGGAAATGTCCAAATCAACAGTTTTTCTAATTCATTTTAGATGTACGTGGTATTTGATTGGTCAATCGAAATAACTTCCGACAATTTAGACACGAAATACCAAAATTCTGATTTGCACATGAAGCCTGGAAAGGTTTTACTACAGTTGCATGAATAACCCCGACTGACCTTAACACGTAATCAAACTGATAATAAAGCTTCTGGTTTCAACGTTGTATACCAGAGCTTTCCATTCAATGAGTGGCATTATGTTCATGATATTTCACAAAATATTACATTGTAAATGGTAACAGTTGTATCTCTTAATCAATCGTCTCAGTATGCTAAGATTTTGGTAAATCATTAAATCACTATGAATGCATAATGATGCATCACCTTAATCATAAGGAACAATAGACAAATCCTAGTACAGGACAAGATAAGAAACAACCAAACTAAACAGAAGTAAACAGAAAACAGAATGTAAAGACATCAGCAAACACTCGAGGGTTAAATAAGATACTTTTAAACGGTAAAATGTCGTCACCGATATAAAACAAAACACGTCTGACAGATTATAAATGTGCATGGACATCCTGTGACATGTGTAATTGTGTACATGGAATTTTCAACATACAGCAATTTATTGAATGATGTGGGGTTTTTTGCGATGTATTTATGCATAGTTTTTTTTCGTTTCAGCTAAGTAGTAGTTGTGATATTTGTTAGTCTGGATTTTAAGGTAAAAAGAATCATGAGTTATTATAATGCTCTTATATGTATGAGCCAATTATACGCGCATGTAAATTATGGTTCAAGTAAGTAACTGAATTTTAGACAAAACAGGCTTTATTTTGTTAAAAAAGCAATTTCTTGTACAACGTAGGAGAAGAAAACCAAATATCAACAGACGTTATTGTATCTTATGCAGCAATACAATATATAGAATAGAAAATACCTTATCGAAAAGACAAGCTTATATTTGTGACTACATCATGTACCTGCGCCAGTTTTAACGTGGGCTGTTACTACACACTCCGTTGCACATTTTCCACCATTGTTACCACAAGGGTTATCTACAGCAGCGCATTTCTCGGTGGCAACTAAATAAATCAAGAATAGTATAAACACAAGTAATCAATGGACTTTTTCATGGCATATTTTGTAAATGTAAGCTTAATGAAACGATGTCCTCTCGATATCTCGATGATTAGTTTTCAGCAGATAAACTTCAAACTTCATTGACAGATTAAATACTATGAGAGCGCAACCGAATGTGATAGCCACTATTATCCGACTGTAATTTAGAGCGAAATGCCCCTTTATCAATTAAGGAAGTGTCCGCTCGATTTCTCGAGTAATTTTCAACAGACTTTTACCGGTGTGAGATTTGTTTACTGAAGGTAGAGAAAAAACACCGCAAATCTGCGAAAGAAGTTACACATTGACTCTGAACAAACACAATTATTTACTCTGTTGTTGTTTAGCTATCCATTTGATTTTGCCGATGCCATGCGATATTTAAAGCTCCTATTGAAATCAGTTAAATACTAGGTAAGTGATCTTTAGACTATCACATCAATATTAAGTCTTTTATTACCGGCTTAGGAAAAATAAGTAAAGTATACGTTTACTAGCATTACAATGATAAGATTTCGAAATATTTAGGTATATTATGTGACAGGCTGCTATCTGATAGATATGCACATCGTTATATACGTACATTCGTCAGGAAAGAGCATAGCATATCGCTACCTATATGTGTTTCAGTCAGATTTGCCTACCTTGACATTTCCAGGAACAACTTTGACCAGCAGTAGCACACGTACACGTAGGTTCACCTGAAACATACAATTTCCTGATAACAAATAGTATAACTGAAAGAAGAGAGGAGTTATCAACTCATATATCTTGCAATCATATAAACAATAGCAAGTCGGACGGCAATTTATTTGGAATGCATTAAAAATTCGGATCTAAACGAAGTTGATGATATATAAGTTCAAAACGACATCTAACGTGACATATGATAAGTGTATGCACACAAAGGTGTAAATGAATCGCATTACAATACAATATATAGAATAGAAAGTACCTTATCGAAAAAGCAAGTTAATATTTGTGACTACAGTATGTACCTGCGCCATGTTTGACATCGGCTGTTACTACACACTCAGTAGCACATTTTCCACCATTGTTACCACAAGGGTTATCTACAGCAGCGCATTTCTCGGTGGCACCTGAAGAAATCAAGAATAGTATAAACAAAAATCAGCATTTGACTTTTTCATGGCATACTTTGTAAATGTAAATGAAACGATGTTCTCACGATATCTCGATGACTAATTTTCAACCGATAAACTTCAAACTTCACTTCATTAACAGATTAATTACTATGAGAGCGCAAACGAGTGTGATAACCAACATTATCCGACTGTTATTTATAATGTAATACTCCTTTAACCTATTGCTAAGGCAGTGTCCGCTCTATATATCAAGTAATTTCCAACGAATTAACTTTAAACTTCAGTGAAAGGTCAAATACCATAAGAACGTGGGCATTTTCGATAATCAATATATTATCCAACTTTAATAAAGGGAGCTATGCTCCTTTAATCAATTGATGAAACAGTGTCCGATTGAAGTCTCGAGTCATTTTCAACGGATTAACTTTAAATTTCATACTAGGATAAAATGCCATAAACATTTCAAACGAGTTCGATAACAAACAATATAAGACCATAACTTACGGAGTTATGCCCCTGTATTCAATTGCTAAAACAGTGTCCGCATGGTATCTCAAGTTATTTCAACTGATTAACTTCATCGGAAGATTAATAGCTACAAAAGAGCTTTTAAGAGTCGTTTAACAGTCATGGTTTCATTGATGCAGTACTACATACATTCCAATGTGCGTTATTGCACTCAATGATCTACCAGTATGTTGAATTTTTTTTCCTGTACTACATGTACCGTTATAACATGTATGACCTCTGACCTCATTATGTAAACACAATAGTCACACACACCCCTCCCCCCACTCCCCTACACAAAACGAAATTTGTGTTTATCAACAGTTAAAAACATAAAACAAATTTTTATTATGTATTTTAATCTGTGTTAACAACTATGAACTGATCAACAAGAATTTACACTGTTTAATTTAATAAGTTTGCTGAAACAAACCAAAGCACACTATCTCCGTGCCACGGCAATAAATGCGATGCATGACCGGCTTTGAATCGATGTACATCATGTTTATGTCAGGCCACCGAAGTGAGTCTGCTACTAGATCCTATAACAGGTAATTTTCAACAGAGCAGAAAAAATCACTGTCCTCTACGCTAGCGTCCATTGCAAGTGGTGAAGCAGGTCAAATAATCCCTGCTCGTCGGCCAGTCCCCTTTAAATCGTCATCTGGTTTCTTAGGAATCTTTAGATGTCACAGATGCACTTTCAATTTCGATTCTTCGCCCATCTCGTTGACATTCCAAATGTATCGTGGCTTGATGATCTTAGACACTGTACAGCCGTTGTGTATCGATCATCTACCTCCGCGAACACAGACTGTTTTTTTGTTACTAAAATATTTTACATGGTGTTTCCATGTTTTCGGAACGGTGTATTTCTCTTTTACGTGAAAAAAACTTGCTTTTTCTTAATTTCAAATAATGAAAGTGAATGTAATTAAACGTAAATAAAAGGTTTGAAATGCATCTTTTTAACATTAATGAGGGTATGCAACACAGTTCTCCAAAATGCGCTAACGCGCATCATGAAATATGTTTGAACGGAACCGTGTTGCATACCCTCATAATGTTAAAATTATGCAATTTATGCAATTAAAAACCTTTAATATTGTATGTTTAGCCGAAACATTACCTATGTCATTGCATAAAGCGGTCATATACATGTAATTTGAACTTTGAAAAACGCCGCAAATATGCTTAGGAAGTAACACTTTACCATTGAAAAAAAACACTTTTCAAATAATCTTTTGACTATCGCTCAACATTTACCCATTTATAACTGATGTCTTTGGAAAAAAGTACATGTTTACGTTACTAGCATTAAAGATTTGAAACATATAGGTTTATTAAATGACGAGCTGCTACCTGATTGGTATGTTCATCCATACGTACATTTTACAGCAATGAGCATGACATATCGCTACCTGTATATGTTCTAGAAATGAGGGTAATAATTCAAACAGATTTTCCTACCTTGGCATTTCCAGGAACAACCTTCAGTAGGAGTAGAACACGGACAAGTAGGTGCAACTGAAACATTCATATATCCATGCAATCATATAAATAATAAATTATATCTGATATAAACACAGTGAATAGTCTTTAAACAAAAAATACTTTCAACATGCAATTATTCAACGTGTAACTGATCTTCCTAGTTTTGTATGAATACACATTTGTATTGTCATGGGGCCTGACCAAATAAGAAAAAAACTGTATTTGATCTATATATAACTTTCCCTTAGCAATCTGTTATCATTACATGTGTATGGTATACATTGCCGCCCATGTATATATGTATATATAAATGGTGTTTCAGATACGTAATAGAATGTAGGACAAACATACTCCTTTTTGGTACATTGTAATCACAGTTATTTCTCATTAAATGTGCTATATATAATGATACAATGTTACATATTTATCAATTTTGGACATTTGGTGAATCCGAAGTCTATATAACTTTCTCAGGACCACATAACAACATATTCACCGACATAACAAATAGTTTATTGTTACATTAAATGCTAAATGATGTTTTTATTTTCAAAAAAGATTGAATGTATGTAATTGTACGGATGAAAGAACTCCCAATTGAGATGAACTCTGACAATGAATACTTACCTACTGGTTCTAAATGATTAAGACTGAATCAATTTCACAAATTATTGGCCTCAATGTGATTATGATCTATCAGATGAAGATGTAGGAAAATGTGTGTCACATAATATAAATTATATTAGATTTAAAGAAATGTAAGCTATTATGATGTCTACCTGTGCCATTTTTAACATTGGCTTTGGCTACACACTCAGTTGCACATGTTCCACCATTGCTACTACAGCTGCCATTTACAGCAGCGCATGTTTCGGCGGCACCTGAATAAAACGCAAATTATTTTTTGACTGATCAAATTATGACATATGTATATATAAGGCAGAATACTTGAAGCAATCCTCGATTTTGGGTTCTTTTATCTCAAAGCTAAACAACGAATACACTTTATGACTATGTATCAAATTTGTTTTTCTTTCATATTTTATTTTACGTCCTATTAACAGCTCAGGTTATGTATGGGCGTGCTTTGATGAGTGTTATGTATGGGTAGTTGTGTGTATGTATGCTGGAGGCAGGGTATGATGATGTACAATAACGCAGATATAATACCAACTAAAGGGTGCTACATCAATTCAATACAATGCCAAAGACACCCAGCACAAAATTCTACCTCGTCACATTATACTGACAATGGGTAAACCAGTTGTTTGGATAATCCTCAATGCTGAACGTTAAGCAAGGAATGCCATGCACGGCGCTAGAGAACAATACAATATGCATGAAATAGAAAGAAAATATAAGATCCCAAAAGTTGCAATGGTGGCAGCAGACCAAAATTATGTTTTTTTCAATGTCCCCTTAACAGAACACCCAGATGAAAGCCCCTGAATTAGTCGCTGTATACGATCCAGAAGGCCTATTCTTTCCTCGAATCTGCAGGGGAGAACATAGATGACAATGCCTTTTATTGGTACGAATTGTTTATATCAATACTTCACGACTATGATAAAAAATATTCAAGATACCAACTGAGTCTATGAATTAAGCTACTACGTCCTTTTAGGTACCATCACACATTGTTATCGCCAATACGTTCAATTCTGATATGCATACTATTTTATACCACCTACTGGTAGCATGATAAATTCATTATCATTGGTTTACAGTATGAGAAGAAGTTGAGAACGACTTGAGAACAATTTAAAAAGAATTTGAGAACGGATTTTCCCATTCCCCAGCACTTGGGAACGTATTTCCTCAAAAAAGAACATCTGCTCGAGCCAGATGACGTCCGAAACCGGTGTCGGTGTGTCCACACAATAGAAATCCGCGTAAGAAAATAGTTCGCCATAAACATATCAATACAAAGTTTCGGAAAACAAAATGTGAGAATAACAACACCATTTCAGGTGTAAATCTGCATATGGAAAAACCAATGACAATAGGAATGTCTAAAAATATTTTTTAAGGTTCATTGTTTTCCTCCGCGCAAAACGTCCAGTTGTTTACGTTTGTCATAGGCGATCGTTGACCGTTGAGCTTAGAAGTCAATTGGAAAACATGGTGTTTAGTTAAGATTTTTAGACGCAGAAATATATAAGGTACAGTATATAGATAATAAATAGTTTATCATACAGCGTTTTCAGTGTCTGTCGTTCAAACAATTTTCTCATCACTTATTTGGTTATACTGTCATCTACAGTACTAGTGCATGTACGGAGTGAATTATGTGTAGTTGATCACTGATTAGAGTTCATCGGTGATTTGACAGTGATCAAAATACAACCGACCTTATAGTTTACTTGTGTTAATTTTGTCTGTTAGGCTTTGTATGGTAAATTTGCACCTCCTTCATAGTTGAATAGGCATATTAAAATGTACTCGTTAGGTCATTCCTTAATATCTTTCAACCACGACACCTATCGAACAGGTATTGTTTGCACGTTATTATCAACGTGCATACACCGCGAGCACACCGCACATCATGTACTTCTACTTCTACTTCTAAATGGTACTGACCAACTTCAACAATTGAAGATAATATGTCAAACGAGGAGTGAAACATGGAAAGAGATTGTTTTTAAAAGATACGAGATGGTCTAATTTGCGTTTGCAAGGTGACGGTAGAGGGCTGATTTGAATAATTCCGTTGTGGGGCTCGAAATAATATCAGGTGGGAGTTTATTCCACTCGGGTATAGTTCGAGGGAAAAATGATGCCTTTCTGGTCTGTGTTTTTGAGTGGGGAATTTGATACTAAAACTGGTGGTTTGTTCGGGATTTTCTAACTGTAGGGACTAATCTGTCTGATTTACGATAGCGACTTTCTGGTTTACAATGTTATGAAGCATGGTCAGACGAGCATCTCTACGTCTATCTGCTAGAGGGCGCAGCTTTAGGTGGTCCAACATTTCTGACACACTGGAGGTACGATGGTTGTACCTGTGCTTATTGAGCACATAGCGCGCTGCCCTTCGCTGGACCATTTCTAACTTGTCAATATTTGTTTGGGTGTGAGGGTCCCATACTGTGCAGGCATACTCAAGTGATGTTCGAACTAATGATTTGTATGCCTGTACTTTGGCTGATGTTGAGCCAATTTTAAGATTTCGTCTTTAAAAGCCTAGCGTAGAATTTGCTTTTGGGCAGATAGTATTTATATGATAATCCCATTTAAGGTCAGATGATAGTGTTACACCCAGTTACTTGGCCTGACTAAGATGTTCCAGTATGTGTCTATGTAAAGTATAAATATGGACTATTGGAGTTTTGTTTTTAGTCACCGACAACACATTGCATTTGTTTGGGTGGAAGATCATTTTCCATGTATTTTCCCAGAGCGCTAGTTGTCAAGATCTTTTTGAAGTGTTTCAGCATCACTGTTTGACTTGATAACTAGATATGCAATAGTGTCGTCTGCAAATAAACGGATTGTAGCATTTAGACCCACATGGATATCGTTTGTAAAGTAAAGAAATAAACTGAGTCCCAAAACTGACCCCTGGGGTACCCCGGAATGGACATCGACAAAATCAGACTTCTCCCCTTCAACTACTACTGTCTGAGTTCTACCGGTCAGGAAACTCTCGATCCAGTTTGCGACATTTCCACGTATACCATAATGTTTTAGTTTATGGTTTAGGAGAGAATGACTGACCTTGTCGAAAGCCTTAGAAAAGTCCATTATGAGGATATCTGTTTGGCGTCCCTCATCAAGATTCTTTGAGATGCCATCCACAAATTCAAGAAGTTCGGTTTCGCATGATCGCGATTTGCGAAAACCATGTTGGAACGGATACAATATGTTATGGGTATCGGCATGGGTCATGATAGTTGAGACCACAATGTGTTCCATAATTTTGCTACAGATACAGGTCAGAGATATGGGCCTGTAGTTTTCTGGGTGAAATTTTGGACCCTTTTTATGAGCAGGTGATACATTTGCAGATTTCCATNCTGGGTTTGATGTCATCAGGGCCCGAGGCCTTGTATGGATTTAGGCCTTGGAGCAGTTTTAAGACGCCCTTTTCATGTATAGAAATTTCAGGCATGGCAGGGTATTTATCGTGAGTAGACATGTTGCATCTAGTGCGAAACTGCTGGTCGGTAAAGATTTCAGGAGGAGTAAAAACAGATTGAAATTGTGCGTTTAGCACCTGGGCCTTGGTGGTAGGGTCATAAACAAGTTTACCGTCCTTTTTCAGAGGAGCTATGCCACTATGGTCTGATCGTTTGGATTTTATATATGACCAAAACCGTTTTTTGCAGGAAAATTTGTTTTCATTGGTTGTGTTTTCTGGGGTGATGATATTATCAATATGGCTCCAGTAAGATGTACGGAGTTTTCTCTGTATATGATGTTTCAGGTTTTTATACTTATTTTTGAAGCTTTGTACGATCCCATAACTGTATCAGAGACGCTTGTTATTATACAAATGTATATATAATTATATATTTATTTCATACCTTAAAACAGCTGCATACATAATAACCATGTTTGCAGGAAAAGTACATGTTATATATAAATAAGTTCTGAATGTGATTCCATGCTAGCAATTACATATATCTAGACGTGCACGTGGTACAAAATGTGCATTCCCCATCACCAAAACTGTTATAAGACAAACCAGGACGACTGGCGCATTATCATAATGACCTCGTAATCGAAGTCCTGTGAGCTGGTCCGCTTCCACAGACCTACTAAAACAATGTCTTGAAGCACTGCTTCCTTTGATTTTATCCATCATGAAGAAATCATTGGCTTAGTCAAAGGTTTTATTGTGTTTTAAGACGGCATATGTTAGATCAATGCTGAAGAAGCCTTGAATGGACAGGGAGAAGTGGAAAAAATACCGCCCAGTATCAAATCAACAATTAAGTATTTTGTATCGTATACATAGGCCTATGGGACAGAAAAAAGTATGTACGACTCTTATTTATATGCATTGTTTCATAACGTTTTTAACTTATTTGTGTGCATTTTTTTTTATAAAATTGAATGCCATTTTTTAGTCGAAATCACTACAACAAGCGGCCAGCGAGAATCACTGTCAGCAACATGGCGCAAGTGATTCACCACCAGATCATAGAGTATAGACCTCGGAAACGTAATCGACAAATGAGAAGTGTTGAATTGATAATATCACCATGCATGCTATTTTTATTACTGTTAATATATGTTTAAACATTCTCAGCTGTGTTGCGTCACATAGGTCTGCAGAGATGAGAACACATCACACTAGTACCATATTCATAGCACTGGTTACATGTAATATATAGGTCGCAGCATACATTTTTTTTGTATACATACAAGGCACTAAATTTAACAGTATTTACATGAGCTTATATCCCAACATTCGTTCTGTGAACTATGGTAACAGTACTTTGGAAAGATTCGGCCACGCTTTTGAATAGCTTACCATCTGTTACCAGGAAGTCAAGCTTTCGGTCTAAATTCAAACAGGATATAAAGACCTATCTTTTTACGTCTGCATTCTAACTCTATTGCTTCATGTGCTTTAAAGCAACTTAGAGTAATTGTGCAATTCTATAGGGCGCTATACACATGTTGTCTATTACTAATATCATTTTCATTACTAAATCAATAGAAAAACTGTTCAAAGATCACCACAGAATTACTGAAACAGTTTAAAACTAGGAGCAAAGTTATATATGAAGTTCATACTAACCAAGAACTCCAGCAACTGTGGTACACAGAAAAAACAGGAAAACAAGGATCATCTTCATCCTGGAAAGCAATATAAAACCAAATACGTTTGTAAATAACTATATATATATATATATATATATATGCATCTGCTAAAATTACATCTTTCGACAAATGAATCAAAAGAGTTAAATATGAAATACATAATTTTCAAATACCAATTTTCATCGAAATATGAAGGTGCAAACTTACTTTTATACTAACAAAAATATATCTACCCATAAAAAAATGTCTCGGAAATACAATGTACTCTTAAAACGATATCGAATAGAAGAAGTGCAAGTAGTAATGGCATGGATTTGACTTATAAATAGCGTTTGCTTGTATCAAAAAAAAAAAGTGCCGTTATGAACTAATTGCCATTTACCTAAGGGACCAGTTGCTATCGATGATTAACAAAACTTTTCGTTGTTATAGCATGCAAATATATACCAATTATGATATTTGAATATGTTTTATGAATACATTGAACATATGCTAAAGTTAGAAAATATACAGTAATAAAAATAACAAATTGATGTTGAAATGTCACAAAGAGGCACTTCCTTAAATGATTAAAGCTGTTAGTAGTCAATAAAACCAAAACAAAATAACAAAAAAACAAACCAGTTCAAACCACATCCCCCTGTGTATTACGACTTAAAAACACATGAACCATATTAGACCAGCAGTCGGAAATGCATTATATTATGATTTTCAGAACCCCACCCTCAGATGCAGATCTCTTCAAGAGTTTACATGCTCTACCTACAGTTACATTGCTCTGCAGAACACCATGTCGTTATTCCTTCGGTTTAACTATTGGTCACTTTGTCGTACGAAGAACGTCAGCTGAACTTATTTTAAATTCGTTTGCTAACCCCGTAAAGGAGTGTGTGAGGTAAAATTAACATCGGGTTTCTAGACAGATTTAATATTTGTAGGTAAGGTAAGAACAATTGGTCTCAAAACAAACAAAACTAAGGTACGTTTTTCTAAATTCTAATTTGCCGAACATTCCTTTAAATATCTAAATATCATCCTTTTTTGTTTTACTTTTTCTCATTTTTCACATGAACACGATACTGTTTAATATTCATTTAAATAACAATTACCTGTTGCATTATATAAACAGGTTTCAATATGAAATTGTACAGGACTAGTAGTTCGTTCCTAACAGTTTTATTTCATATTGAAAATTCAGCCTTCAAAATGTTGAGACATCCAATTAAAATGTTGTAGTTTTATCGTAACGCCAAGCGAAGTAGTTTGCACCTGATAACGCAGCTCCGGCGAATACCTCAATATTGTATTGGTTAATGTATATGATAATTGTATTGATTGTATAAAATTGTATATCTATGTACTGTTAAGCGCTTTAGAGTGGCTTATGTTAGCTAGATAGGACGCTATATCAAATGCTATTTATTTATTTTATTTTATTTAAAACTGTTTTATCCACGTCAATATATGCATGAATTTTTCAGGGGAACACATATATCGATATATCCATTTCGTAGATGTACACACATCCGCATGTATATAGTCTTGTAAAGCACATAATAATAGCCATACAAATCAAACTTCAGCGATAAAGGTTAAAAATATGTATTGGTACATGGCTATCTCGGGGCTTAATGTGTGATTAATTAAGTTAGGTATCTAATTAATTGAATTAGGGGAATTTGCGAGTTTACTGGTACCACATTCCTACATGTTTTTAATTTCACTACAAGCTGCGAGTTTTTATCATTTCAGACCATATTTGTTGTTCAATTTACCCTCGATATATTTGGGAAGGATACTGTTATTTTTTTCTGTTATTTTCAGACGCCATAAAGTCGACAGCTATTAACAATAAATATCAACGCTATGCTTTACGCCATATGTGTGTTTCAATCAATCAAACCCACAAACCTATCGACGTCCTTCGTCAATACATGAAATCAGCATATGAGACAGGTTTGCAAACGGTATCATATTCTCTTTGAAGTTCAGTGGAACCTCCAACCCATGAGCGCTTGCCCTTTTTAAAGTTGATCTAAAAATTAAATTAATTGTGTTTTGTCTGCGACTCGCTTGTTACCGGTATTTTTGTAGAGGGAGCTGGCGATAAGTGGAGTTTTGGGTACCTGTTTCTTTTCTGAAAAAAAATGTGCATGGAATATGAAGCAAAAATTGCTTGTGCTTGGGTTTGTGGTATTTACTTCAAGCCAATTGCGAGTGGGGAAGCTGTTTAGTTATTTTTAGTGTTGTTGTTCAAACGTATTTTAATATTTGTTGAACAGAGTAGACAATTAGTGTCTCAGAATGTTACACTTTCTCATATATTTCAATACACGTTAAAGATGACATAACAATTGTATATTCGCTAATTTCATACAAACAGACTAACATGTTAGTGATTTCATGTAAAATTAAACCTAATCCAACAATAGAGTGGGGAAATTTAAAGTGGTCATTTTTATTTTGCGTTCCAATTTCTGTCGACATCTAAAGCAATATTTCAATGAAATAATATTTTGAACTGTCATGTTATTCAAAGGAGTTGGAACGTTTTTGGTAATTGTTTGCCTCAGATAAAGTATAAATTATTTGAATTTACTTACGAATTTCTGTTATAAATATCATATTGGTTCATTGGGGCTATCCTTCTTGGTGCAGATGTTTTCCAATACGCATGTGTAGCTGCCCTTTCATAGCAACACAATTACGTTGTTATGCAGAAATAGCCAAAATATGGTTATTTTGGACAGTTAGCATGCAGAAATGAAAGCCTCTGCATGTGACAAACAAATATGCCTTTCTCGGAATGAACACTGGTGTGACAATATCATGTCAAATATGTATTTGTTTGTTGCATGCGGAGACTTTCAAATATTGAAGAGTGTTTAGTTAATTTGCCAGTTTTCAACCAAATAGCGCACAACAGTCGATATTAACGCAATTTATCACGAAAAAGCGGGGTTATGTCTCTCTTTGTAATGCCATATCTCCTAATCCAGTTGTCGTATAAATTTGAAATTTCATATTTGTGTACCTCATTTATTAAAGATAACGAATATAACAAGTAATTATAAATCCCCGATGGGGCCGGAAATAACCCTTAACGCCCCTGGTCATTTGTCCGTAAGAGAATATTTTGAAATATCTTGTTATTCAAATCTGTCCGTGACATTACAGTTTGATTGGTACTATACATAAGTTGGTTGTTCACATACACATGTGGATATACAATTCCGTGGTATTACTATTTAACGCCCAGTGCTTTTACTTTTCACTTGATCCAAATTCGCCAATATGACAAAACCAAAGTGCATGAAGCATATGCGTTCCTTGGCTAGGTGCTCTAATGCTACATTAAACTGAGAAGCAAAAGTTGTTTGATAAAACTTTCACTTTTAGAAGTTGATGTGTGGAAATGTAAGGTTATACAAGGTATTAAGAAGAAATACAAGAAATTTGTCAGCAATATAACATCGCAAATATCATTCACTGTAGCCGTTGTTTTGAATGCGTATCTTATTTACGTGCCTGCTATATCAGAATCGTCCTCTGATTTCAATTTGTATATTGATAGTGTCCGTCTTCGTCTGTTCTTCGGCTTAAATTGGTAACGATTGGTTTTTAGTACAGTATGCAGTTCATGCCAATAATCACACTGTCAGACGTGTCCATTGAAACCAATCAAACATTTTGGTGTAGCTCCCGAACACTAGCTACTATTATATTACCGGTAAACTCACTAACATTCTCGCCAGTACAGTGCAGTTACCTTTGATTTCTTATATTGAGATAAAAGGACACATATGAATGATCAGTGATGTAAGATTCGGTATTTATTTTACTGCATTACAGGTTTTGCCAATATTTTGTTATCTGGTCTACTTATAGCACAAAGACTAGCGCGATGCATCTAAAGTTTAGATTGTAATCGCAGTTGTGGTCTATGTATTTGTGGTAGTATATTGTGATGCCTGATTGAAAGTTTGTTTAATTTGTTTTCAAAAGTGACTTTGTGTAAATTGAGACTCTTGTAATTAACTTAAATGTAGGCTTTAATGTTTATGCTTAGTAACGCCTCTTTACAGCATGTGTTACAACTGCTATATGTAGGTGAGACTGGTGGGATGTTAAAGGGACGCGTCTTTGCTCTCCCCATATTCAGAGTCCGTTCTTAATTTCCGTTTTGACTGCTCAATATCTACGGGAAAGCCCAGATAACTTCACGTGACGGTTTTGATATAAAGCTGTCAACACAGGTGATCTGACTGAGTTGCCAAGTTAAAAAGGGGACCCCAGAGAGGGCAGCTTCTAACTGCACTATGAAATCAATGTATAATATTCTTAGTCCGTGTTGAAACTTATATAATCCTCTTAGCAGTACTTTGTCATCATCAGAAGTTAATTGTACACATGTGAATAGTTAATTACACACATGTCAATATTCAAATGAGGAAATATTTGTTGGCATCTCCGCAGTATTAATAGACATCAGGAAATCATTATTTCCGGGATGAGACAGGTACAAATAGGCACCGGACAGCAAACCCCTTACACCAACCACGGGACAAGCCTTTCTTAACAAAGGATTTTCACGGATATGTTTTAAATATATTACATAGCTATTTAAGCATTTTCATAAATTAGCCTGAGTTTTATCTGGTCCTGACACCAACTTTAGACATTTTGACAGATAGATGTCTGGTGTGGGACATATATCTGTCACAATATCGAAGTCTATATCGCAGCCTCCCAAAATACACACACATACACTACACGCATGCACCTTGCACACAGGGGAGGCCTTCCTTAAATTATCTTAGCTGTTAATAGGACGTTAAACAAAATCAAACAAACAAACAAACAAACATTGTGTCAGGGTCAGAGGCAACTTGGGCTAACTTGTACACGTAAACGAGCCTTTTAATATATATTGTCTCGTCCCTGCTCTCTTGAATTTGTATGGATAGAAGTATCCCCAATGTATAGAGAAGATGTTCCATGAAGGCCCACGACCAATTGAATTTGTGTAAACAAAC